TGCGTTGAGATATCTTTCTCTCTCTTGCTTATGTGTACGATAATACATAGAATACGTATATGCGTATACGTCGCGAGATTCTACGCACTATCATGCATGTTTTCAAATCTGATGTTCAACAATGCATTCATGTATACGTGTCTATGAGTGTGTGTCTTCTTAAGGGAAGTCGACATTTTTATCATGTTATATTAACATACAACGAACGATAACCGTTCAATGCACTAATTTAATTAATAAAAATGTACTTTCGAAGCTACAATTGAAAGTTAAAGAAAATAATTAAAGTACGAGTCATTTTTTTTTTGAAAATGTGATTTCCAATAAAATAGAAAAGTAAAAAAAAACAAATTAACGACAAATTAAAAATTGAAAAAATCAGAAAAAAATCAGCTGTTTAAGAACAGCTGCAAGATGTGAAACATCTTCATCTATTAATTAAAGGAATGAAAATTCAGAGACAAATAAAATTTAAAAATCACTGCTCAATCGAAACAAAACAAATTTTTTAAAAGAAGAGGAAAATACCTTTATTTTCTTTTTAAAGTTAGCTCAATTAATAATTGAAGGTAAAAAAAAAAGTAAAATCGATGGCTTAGACTTGCATCTGGACTATAGAAATTTGTTAATCAAAATCTTACATACATCATCATAAAGTACTCCTTCAACGGGTAATGAAAAAAAAAATAGAGCTCTCTACGATAATTTTAGCGCCCTGTTAATCGGCCTTCAAAGAGGCGCATTTTTTAACGTATTTTTTTCGATTTTCCGTCTAAAACTTTTTGCTACGTATAAGTACAAGTCTTAAACTTCCATTTTGGCGTCGAACGGACTCGATACTGTTGTTAAAAATAGGGAAATAGCCTAGGTCCGAGGGAGAGCTTTTTCAGACAAATGACTGTTTCTCGAAAACTATTAGTCCAATCTTAACTTTTAAAAGTTCCTTTTTTTGTCGCGAAATGACTGACATTTTGATGTATTGTAAGTTCCGATTGAACTAAAATTGTTTATAATAAATGCAATGAAAAAATGGACATTTTAGACGGTTTTTTGCACTTTTCTCGGTAAATAAATAACGTAATTGATCGTGGTTAGGCTCAAATTAAAGGTCTAATTACAAGCTACAACTTTTAATTGAACTTTTTTTTTATTGCTGTTCATGGAAAAGCTACAAGGACGAGAATGTGATTTTTCTACCCTTCTAACCATCCCTCTACCTCAACCACCACTCGAAAACTTACGCACCTAAGGGTGCTTGTACTTATCGAGACCAACAAATCCCATACGGTCCGGTGCTATCACTAAGTTTACCAAACCCTAATAGTATACTTCTAGTCGCGTCAAACTCGAAAAATAAAATTACATATAAGCCTAGTCAAAGCCAAGATGAAAACTGTTTACAACTAAAGTTAAATACGGTGAAAAACCAGTAGAAAACCGCGTTTTAACCGTGTTTAATCCAGGTTTGATCCAGGTCTAATCCGGGATTAATCCAGGTTTAATCCAGGTTTAAACCAGGTTTAGTCCGGGTTTAATCCAGGTTTAATCCGGGTTTAATCCAGGTTTAATCCGGGTTTAAACCAGGTTTAATCCGGGTTTAATCCAGGTTTAATCCAGGTTCAATCCGGGTTTAATCCGGGTTTAATCCAGGTTTAATCTGGGTAAAAATCTGGGTCAAAATCCAGGTTATGAAACCAGGATTAATCCGGGTTGTGATCCGGGTTATAAATCCAGGATTAATCCGGGTTAACAATCCAGGTTGAAAATCCGGGTTAAAAATCCAGGTTGAAAATCCGGGTTGAAAATCCGGGTTAACAATCCAGGTTGAAAATCCGGGTTAAAAATCCAGGTTGAAAATCCGGGTTAAAAATCCGGGTTAACAATCCAGGTTGAAAATCCGGGTTAAAAATCCGGGTTAACAATCCAGGTTAACAATCCGGGTTAAAAATCCGGGCTAACAATCCAGGTTGAAAATCCGGGTTAAAAATCCGGGTTAACAATCCGGGTTAACAATCCAGGTTGAAAATCCGGGTTAAAAATCCGGGTTTAAAATCCGGGTTGAAAATCCGGGTTGACAATCCAGGTTGAAAATCCGGGTTAAAAATCCGGGTTGAAAATCCAGGTTGAAAATCCGGGTCATAATCCGGTTTGGAAATCCGGGTTAAAAATCCGAGTTAAAAATCCAGGATTAATCGGATGTATAATCCGGGTTATAAATCCAGGATTAAAAATCCAGGATTAATCGGATGTATAATCCGGGTTAAAAATCCAGGATTAAAAATCCGGGTTATAAATCCAAGATTAAAAATCCGGGTTATAAATCCAGGATTTAAAAATCCGGGTTATAAATCCATGATTAAAAATCCGGGTTATAAATCCAGGGTTAATCCGGGTTATAAATCCATGATTAAAAATCCGGGTTATAAATCCAGGGTTAATCCGGGTTAAAAATCCAGGATTAATCCTGGTAAAAATCTGAGTTCAATCCAGGTCAAAACCCGAATTTAATCCAGGTAAAAATCTTGGTTAGAAACCAGTGAATAATCGAGCTTTAACCCGATAGAATGTTGGCCGATACTCAGATGTAAAAAATCATATAAAACTGTTTAAAACCCGGTTATAAAGCTGGTGAGTATCCGATGGTGGTAAAAATAGATTAAATGTAAGATTAAATCTAGTTAAATACCTGGTTTTACACCAAGGCTCAGGATTAAAACCTATTTTAATCGGTTCGTACCCGAGGTGCGAATCAGTTAAAAGCCCAGGTTATCACTAAACTGGAATGCGTTCTATAAAACAATATAGTAAATGAGTGCGAGTAGGAGAACACCGGGCACTATGCACATTTTCGAGCCGGATAAAATTAAAAAAAGTAATTTAAATAAGCAGTTTGCAATAACCGTATTACTTGGTTTTATTTGTATCGTAGCTCTAGCCATGCCAGGAAACCCGGCTAACATGGCTACTGTGGACGCACCCTATATTAGATTTTTTGTTGATGAAATGTTTCCCGGTTTTCGACTAAAAAAAAGCCGTGGAAATCGTCGATTCTTAAAGAAATTTTATACTTTATAAGCGAGAGGATGATCTGAATATCATAGTTTATGATCATGGAATCGCGCATGAAACATCTCACTGTTTCAAATTCATATATTAGCTTACATCGAGTCCGGGTGAGCTCCTATTTGGGCTTAGGAACATTAATATTTAAAAATTGTCACGTTAAATTTTCATGTTATAAGCATTATTTTAAAGAGTGCAGCAAAATTGCATATTAATGTATCGTGATGCAACGATAAAAATTTTCACATATAAACCCAAGTGTAATAATCGATTAGTGATTAAGTTATTAACTGTTTGGACCTGTAATTGTATAAATGAAATTATGAACGAGATTCCGCTTATAGTAGTGTAGTAACGTAGATAAGGAAAGAAAATTTATATGTAAAATATTGAACGAGAGCGCAAGTACAATAGTAAGTTAACGGCTGCTTCTCAGTGTAAGTGAACAAAGACATGTGGCGTTCAAGTTGTGTAAAAGTATATACGGACAGCTGTAAGCAACCAACTACATCTGGGCAGCATCTCGTTAATTCTCCTTTCTAACTTTGAACCCATCACGTGTACGTAATGCTGACGAGAAAAAAGCACAAAAGTTCAGTATCGTTTTGGCTAGCAACGAGCTAAGAGCAGCACACTTTACAGTATCAGCCACGATGTCAACATTCTGGACGTTTTGCGCGATCTTCGCGGCTCTATACGGCATAATCATGGTCAGCTCAGTTTCACTTTTAACTATCTTAGACGAGGCCACGTTCATCGACCGCTGGGGTGAAAATCATTTAGTGTTAAGTGAAAGTGGCGTCGAAAATACCACCATCTATTACGCCCTTTGTGACAGGTACATGCAGGGACGAGGGAAGAGGGGATGTACTCTACATCGAAGTAAGGTTTACTCGGAAGATGCCAAGTGCAACATCACACTGCACTTCGAATCAGCCCTTGGCAGCCTCATCCCAACGCATCTCATTACAATCGAACCGCTTGGCAAAGATCGAGCAATCGTGCGTTGGTTCTTAAGGGAATATACCACGGAAATGTATTTCTATAAAAAGCCCATTGTTACGTCTCACTTGCGATTCAGTATCGTCAATTTTTCCAATTGCAAAGTCAAAACAACCAAGGTTTCGGAAGATCTCGATCGGCTAATTATGAGTGAAAATGATTACAATTTAGATTTTATTAAAGCTACCAAAATTGATTATGATAAATTCTTCAAATTGAGATATCTTAAAGGAGAAGATGAGTTTGAAGTTTTGTCAGCTAACATGGGAAAAGTTTATAGATCATCGATCGATGCCGAAGGAGTTGCTTCGCCGGTCGATACATTGCTCACTTACCCCGAAGATGTCTTGGTCGAGCCTCTTATTGTTCCATTGTCAAAGGACAAGGGCTATTTGTTTATTGAATCACCAAGTCCCCATTCAACCGGAAAAAAAAGGATGGCCGTAGCTCTCATCCAGCCAAATGGTAATTGAAAAAGAAATACGTTTTAATTTTCGAAAATCCCATTAACATTTATGTGACATTTTTTACAGGTCAAAGAGAAAATTTAACTCGTATCGAAGGTGTGGATTCGCCTTTGGTCTCATTGGCCAACGGATTGATCGGCATATGCGCTCGACAGAACGAAACTACAATGAAATGTACACAGTTCAAGCTCGGCGACAAAGAGATCGACTGGTTTTCTGCCAACATCAGTTGTGAGGATTATGTGGGGTGTCCACGAATCATTTACAACTTGCCGGAAGGTGAAGGATTTCTGACCGTCAGAAGCGTGGCTAGAAGCCTTTTTCCCTTCATAGTCGACAAGTATCCGGTTAAAATCGGACTGGATGGAAAACCAACGCAATTAGTGTTTTCCCGTATGGGGTGCGCAAAAAATCAGGACCACACATTCACCAAACTTTTCCAAGACGATGAGGGCCATTATCGGCTGAGCAGCGCCTGCGTGCAATACTCTACCCATAAAAACACCTTAAATTATTTATGGTTTTCAAATTACATATATGCAATTTGATTCAACGCCCTTCGGAACGAAAATTCCGGATATTGATCTATGCTAATCTTACTCTAATAATAATCACTCTTGTGCAGTTTCAAAAAATTTTATCAATTTTTTTTTTACATAAATATCATAAAAATTATACCCTTGTAAATGGTTTGATAATTAAACTAAATTAAAACTCTGCTGTTAGTACTAAGTTAATATAAGTTCAAATGCGGGGGCTTCTAAAATTCAATTAGGATTACAGTACATGCGTTTATTTTTGAGAACTTATAAATGAAAGAGGGAATAAACACCGAAATGGGTTGCTGATTGAAAAACGAAAGAAAAGCAGAATCACAAATAAGCTGTGCATATATACACAGTCGCAATGCGATGGCCCGCGTAGTGTCACACCCACGGCAAAGCGATGATGAATAAATAAAATTCAATCTACTTCAAAGCCAGGCTATGCTAATTAATATGAAAAATTGTGGACTGATTTAATTTTACTATTTACAATATAGACACTACTAAAAGTTTGACAATGTACTGAAGGTACTTTCATATCATTGCGCATATTTTAAAGAATGCATATTTTAAACACTTCAAAACCCTCTCATTAACTTGATTGATCTTTGTAAAAATGTTGTATAACAATTATAATAAATTTATAGTTTCATTTTTCACGCAAAAGCAATTTAAAAAAAATTATTAGTTCTATTTCAAATGATATTGATTTCTTGAATACGTATAAATTATGTTCGAAAAAAATTTTTATTTTTTCTAATTCTTACTCAATCCATCGAAATAGATTTCATTTAATAGTGAGATGAAATGGTGATAGCTTCGTGATAATTATTGCAATGTATACTATAGTCATGGGTTTTATAAAAGGCTTTCATAACTTTTTAATAGTTATTTTTTTAAATATAATCGTTGAAAATGGGGCATACATTTAATTTTCATTAAGTAAAAATTAAAGCTGTAATTTCGTTTAAAAACAAAAATCTCGTTAAACCTGCATGCTGAATTAGTGAAGTAATTTCAAAAACTTACCATGAACATTATGTATGGAATTAAATACATCTCAACCAATTACATATTTTATTAATAAAATGAAATTATTTTGCAAAACGGTTATCATTTATGCATAAGTCATATACATTTTTTTCATTTTATTCAAGAGAATTTGGCCATCGGTGCATTGACTGCTGCAATGATCATTTTCGGTATCTTATATCTTCACGAACTCATTATTAGCGGCAGATAAGAACTTTACGGCATTATTTTAATTTGAATTCAGAAAAAAACATGAAATTTATTTCATAAAAATTTTTCACTTCAATTAGTTTTAATGAATTGACGAATGAATGCAGTGACAATAATTCTATATGCAATTCAGAACACGCATATAACTTTTCATTCATCGCTCTGTGTTGACAAACGAATTCCTATGCAAATTCGGAAGATCCATTGGCGATCGCGAGCGAAGAAGGCAGGATGTTGAATCGGTTACACCTCGCGCGATCGAAAATGCCGATGATCGATGACGCGCCGATCTCAAGGTCGCTGCCAAGACCGTTTGTGCGGATACAAGTGAAAGCTTCGGCTAAATTAAGGCATAGGTGGGATTACGCAAACTGCGTGCGGGGGCGGGAACGTCGTCGCGCTCTCATGAGCATTGCACGTATAGCGTAAGTATATACGCGCGGAGAGACCGATCGAGAGCGAGCGAGAGAGAGAAACGGAAACGTATAATATTAACCATACTATAGCGCTCGCAGTGTGGTCGCGGTCTCGCAGTTTCTTGCACGCGGTGCGACATCATCTCCGCCAGTTGACAGTGTACCTGTGTCCGAGCCGTATATCAGATCTCCATCGCGCGCGAATATGTAATGACGATACGAATTTCGCTCGAGTTCCGAATTCACGAATTTCGTTCGACAAATGATTCGTTGCAGTAAAGTTGCAGTGCTATCGTACAATAAGTGGGCAGCTATTCAGTGAACAATACCCGACGACGAGCGTAGGAGATACCAAAAAAAAACCGCAACAACAACAACAACAACAACAGCAGACACAAGCGCACACCGTCTCAACGTAAGTCCAAATCGGGCGGCTCACTTCTATAAATAGCGAGATGAGCGACACAGTGAGCGCAGAGCGCAAGGTCTCAATGAAAACTTCTCCGCGTTTCGTGGAAAATTATGCGGCGCAGAGCGAAATCGTATCGAGTAAAATTGAAAATTCGGTTCCGTTACCAGCGAGCTCTCGTTTTATGAATGATTTTGTTCGCTTCTTGTATCGCAATATTTAATTATAAAATCACGAAGCGCGTGAAACCTTGAATGAGATGCTGCGTTTTGCAGCTGAATATAAACGTTTGTCGGTGTGACCTACTTTCGAAAAGATCTTGATGGTAACATAAATAATCATCGAAGTATCTTTATTTTTTGTTTTTTTTTTTCATTTTCATTCGTTTTGATGACGTTACCAAAAATATTGTGTTTAGTTATTAATTGCTATTAATTTTTGCAGCATCCACACAAAATGTATATCGCAGCGGAGGATCGGAGTTTTCTCCCGTATATATTAAAAACCAACATGATCAACGAGAAAAGAGTCGCCACGGACAAGTGGGCACTCGTAATATTTATCATAGCAGTTCTAGTGTGGATTCCCGTAATAGTCATTGGTATTGAAACATTTCTCATGCAAAATCTCTCATGCATCTAATTCTAATTAATGTAAATTCATTCTTCGCGCACTTGCGATCGATTCGTTTTTTTTTTACAGCAACAATAACGTGTACGGATAAAAAAATGTGTTTCACGCCTCTCGACCACATCTTCAGCACAACCACCGACATAAACAGCGCTTCCAGGTACAAAGAGAGAAAAAAAATCTTTTTTGAACAATGATCATTGAAAGTCTTATCGTTCTGCCTGTGTTTTGGGAAACAGCATTATCGCGATGATCGGCTACATCATACTCGGCGCGTTCATCACGAGGCTCGTCTTCGTTCTGACTTACTACTGCCCGAGTGTCATGACCCGGCTAACTTTCCTGGTTCTCTGGCTGTTGCCCATAGTGTTCCTCGTTGCGTTCATCAAGATGCCGAGCCTGGTTTATTTCTTCATGTTCGTGTCGGCGGTGGCCAGCATATTTCTGGTGCATTACCTCTTACCGACAGAGTGGTTTCACATAACTGACGCCGTCCTCAAAGAATCTTGCAAGTGAGCCACACATATTACTTCATTTTCTCATTATTATAGAATGCTCGACTTAAACGCGGCGATTTTCCATACTTTTCAGAGCGATTATGTTTTACCCGACGGTCTCCATAGTCAGCGCTCTTTGCTACGTGCTGGGTATTTGCTGCGCTTACGTCACCTTCGCCACCTACATCAACATCGAGGGAATCGAGGGAATGGGCTTCCTCACCTTCCTCATGCACATAATCAATTCGCTCGTCGGCTTCTGGGTCGTTCTCTTCATCGTCGTTTTCGGCCAGATGGTGTCGAGCGGGGCCTTCGCCACCTGGTACTGGCACCAGCACAAATCAGACATTCCAAAGTACACCGTGTTCAGATGCATCAAAATAATAAGCAGGTAATATAATGACGCGCTCGATGCTTACCGCGCAAAATTCCTCCCAAATGTCCAGTCGTAAAAACATTGTCAACGCACGCGGCAAATATTACTCGTTGAATTTTTGAATTTCAAATATAAATCGACTAAAACAGTAGGCTATAGCAAGACGTACTACCGTCTGAATATTTTAAATGTCGTTTGCATAATTTTAATGAGATCGCAAAAGAGCGACAACGCGTACGATATCCTGTATCGAAACGACGCTGTAATACAAAAACAAACAAATGTCGTCAGATATCACTTGGGCACGGTAGCCTACAGCACGTCCATGTTCGGAGCAATGAGCATACTGTACCTCCTGGGCATGCGATTGCTCAATCACGAAGGCAACAAGGCCGGAAAAATTTGGCTCGTTCTATACCACATGGTGGACGCGGTGGTGGGCCGATTCATGGCCGCCGGTGCCGTACTCAATTGCATCACCAACGGCCAAGATTTCGCCGAGTCCGCCTCCAGGACCTTGGACAATTTTGAGTCAAACATCAAGAAGACTCTACTCGCCACAAAGGTATATAGCACGATCAAGCGATTTCTTTGTTCGTTCTAAAGTCTTACACGCGTTTGCAAAATTTTTCAGATCATCGAGTACGTGTTGATTCTGGCGTATGTGTTGGTGTCGGGCCTCATGGGGCTGGCGATCTATCCGTACGCCCTGAACTTCACCTACCCCTTGCCACTGGCCGTCATCATCTACATCGGCACGAACATGTTCCTCTTCTCGCTGCTGGTGACGCTTCACGCCAGCTTCAACGCGATTCTGATCAGCTGCTACGAGGACCGCACGATCAACGACGGCACCACGCTGCGACCTTACGTGATGCACGACGATCTGAGGATGGCCTTCATTCGCCGAGGCTCGCCGAGGTGGTACGCGTGCTGCGCGACCCGCAAATCGTATTACGAGAACTCCTAAATGAGCCATGAAGTGAAAGAAAGGGAATATATAATTCGAAATTTTTTTTTCTTGTAAATATACTCTTTAATTGTTAAGCGTAACGAGGAGATTTAACTTTGTTGATGTTGACGATTGCAAAAGTTAACTAACTCGCGGTACGTTTATCGAGTACAAAACCTAGTACAAATAATACGACTAATTTCAGTATTGTAAAACGTTGAATTTTTACACTATATTTTTTTATATATGTTATTTAATAACAAAGTCACTAATTTAGTAACCGACAATGTGTACTTAGAAGAAGAAGCATTTTATTTTACAAACAAGCTCGCGAACAAGAGTCGATGCATTATGCAATATTACAAAGAATAAAGTTACAAATATTCTGCTCTATCTTGCCATATTAAAAGGATTTTGCGAAGGAATATACCAATTTTATCTTTCTCTGCTGTCCAAAGTTTTATAAAATTTATGTATCAAAACCAGACTGAATAATCACGAATAATAAAGACACTTTTCAAAAAAGTTTTACCACTCTAAGTAATCACGTAAAATAATATTATTTCATAAACTACTAAAAATACATCTTATTTTCATAGTCCATAGAAAAGTTTCAGTGTCTCGTATACATGTTGACTCACAATGTAGTAGCATATAAGAAGACTGGCACTTACGTGATACATTTTCTGAATTATCTTCCGACAAACGTTCCCAAGTGAGATAAAAAGAACAAAAAAAAAATCAAATCGTCTGCCGTCCGACAATTAGCCTACTCGCTTACTAATTAGTTTGACCGCAAATTGCCATAATTGCTCTGAACAAGACATAGGCGTGCACGCATGTTGTATGTGTGTTTGTATACTATACAGTACTATATACACCGTAAGTCACTGCTCCGAACTTTGCATCGGTAAGTAAAAAAAAGTTCTCGTATTATTAATTTAAGGCAACGTTTATTGGGAAATACCGATACCCGTTTGCGTGATTCAATAACGAAAATAAGTATGACATTCGCATTTGCAAGCTCTTGAAAATGTATTTTTGGATAAAATAATATAATACAATTTATGCAGGTAGCAGTCGGACTGGATATGTTCGTTGCGATTTGAAAATAAATGCAAACTAATGGCAAGTGTCGGTGACTGACCTTCAAAACAAAAATATAAACAGTAACGAAGGAATGGTCAAAGTATTTTTATTTTTATAATATAAATAAACACAATAAAATCCTGGCAGCGCTTTTAAAAATAAAATTAGGGCACATTAAAAAAAATTGCATTATAGCAAGTTTTAAAAACTGTTTGATGATGAATAAACATTTAATACTAATTCTTTATTTGTTGATATATTTTAAGGAGTCTCAATTCACCAGGCAAAATGTGGAAGAGAATAAATCGATTTTTGCCATCTAATGATTGCATTAACCGATTACAAGAATCAAAACATAGATCATCATAACAATAGTTACATATAAAATAGAATGAAGGTACTATCTATACTATTAGTAACGAAAAGAAAATTTAATTGTTCTTAATTCTGACGATTAGTTGAGGTGATTTGTGCATAATTCTCAGGACTCAAACCGACCAATATGCCATTTAAAAAACGTTTGAGATATTACTTGCAGCTACATTTATAATAGAAATGTGCGTGGCAAGTATAGTAGCTCAGCCGATAAAATCGTCAAGTTTCGAGCGCAGTCGCATATGCATTATGCAATTTGCACACGAAAAAGGTCATAACTGACAGGCCAGTAGCCGCACAACTGCAGTGCAGACCAAAATACTATTTTGCTGGGATTCGGCAATCATCGTGCGTTCTCGTAACTGGTTTCTGACAACTCAGTCGGCGTAGACTTCGGTAAAAGACTGCGAACAGCATCGCACGCGTACACACACCACCGCAGTGCACACACCTACGCAGCACTTATACCACTTCGCTGCATACACGAACGTGTAGAGCCGCGAAGAGACGGATATATCGGGAGTAAGTGTAGCATTGCCAGAGTACATTCGACGTCGCGGAAATATCCGAAGCCATGGCGACCGAAGCCGAGTCGACGAGCGCGGGCAACATTCAACATCACGAACAACAGCAGCAACAACGAGTCTCGATCGCGGTGAGGTCTCAGCAGGTAGCCTCATGCGGCGGCGGTGGCGGCGGCGACGACGACGAGGAAGATGTGTCAACGGTGCACCCGGTGGCGGTCGTTTCCACCAACTCGACCGTTGGGGTGCCGGTGACACTGCCCGTTGGCTCGATAATCGCCAACGGGACGACTTTCAATGTCATAACGTCCGAGCAATTGCAGGTATGCAGCACGAAACCACGACTTTTTTCTCTCGTCGCAAATAAGTTTCGTATTGATGAAATTCCATCGATTTCGCTTGCTCGGTGTGCGCTTGTTTACATAATGAGGGGGCGACTTTATCGAGCGCACATAATGCCAGCTGCCCTCAAAGTGTACATTATAAGGGGGGTTGATGAGCACATCTGCCGTTGTTCTGTCACACTTGCTAGCTACTTACTTTTTTTCTCGTTATTTCTCATACTTTTACGAACGAACATTTCAGAAACGCTTACTGTCGTGATTTTTTTTTCGCGTTTTACTAACAATATAACTGAAATATGCCTTATTTTCTTGTAAGTAAAACAATATACTCTCCATAAAACTTTTTTTAAATATCATTTTATAATTACAGATGGCAAACAATGCACAATTCAAGCCAATGATATGTGTAGACAATAGTTTTTTATGTGAAACTAGACCTAATGATAAAAATAATTCATGGGGTAATGATCTAAAAGCAACACACATTGTTATTCAAAATAATGCAGAAGATACTATTAATGAATCCATACATATATCTACGGGTGGAAATGCAAAATCTTGCTCATGGACAGAAAGTGCCAAAATGCCAGTTTTACCTGTAAGATGCAAGAACACAAATGCAGAACTGCATAAAAGTCGTTTTGGTTCTGGGGGTAGAGGAAAATGCATAAAATTTGGAAACGAATGGTACACTCCTAGTGAATTTGAGGCTTTATGCGGAAGAGCTTCTAGTAAGGATTGGAAAAGAAGTATCAGATTTGGGGGCAGAAGTTTACAGACTTTAATAGAAGAACAAATTTTAAGACCTCATGCAACCTCTTGCACGTGTGCCGCTTGCTGTGATGATGATAATGCTGTAAGTTGAACGTAAGTTGTTTGTAAGCTTTTGATTTCTGAAGTTTCTTATTTTCAGGCTGGACCTATACGATTGTTCACTCCTTATAAGAGAAAAAGAAAAATGAGAGATGATTTTGAAGACGATTCCACTGCACACAAGCATAAAGATGGTTCTAGGGATTACAGCGAAGAAAGTGATGCTGATGAAAAATCAACTTATAATGTCCATAGCTATGCGCAGTCACACAACTCTCAGGAGATTGAATTAAATTCTAAAACACAAAGTCTACAAAATGGTCACAAAGAAAGCAGGTATCAAAAACTTGAAGAAATAGCTAATAAAATGACTAAAATAGCAAATGAGTTTAAAAAAATAGTAGAGGAATATAAAGCAGAAGAGAAAAAACTGGAAGAAACTGCTCAACAAACTGCAAACAACAAGTTTGGATTAGAACCAGCTTCAAACTCTAATAAAAAACTGGTATTGTTATGAGAATTGATTTAAAATATTTACAATAAAGTAAATTTTTCTGAACTATTATGTGAAAATAAATATTTTTATTTCAGTGTGTAAATTGTAATAGAGATGCCTATGCAGAATGTTCACTTTGTCGGAGAACTCCTTATTGTTCTGCTTTCTGCCAACGTAAAGACTGGAATCAACATCAGATAGAGTGCACTCGAGAGTCTACAGAAACAGTTATGTTAATTGTAGATAACAGTGCAGACAACAATTGCTTAAGTGCCCAAACAACAGATTCAAAATTATTAGTTCTAACTCCTGAGTCAGACACGAATTAACTAATAGTTTCTTAAATGCTTAGTGATTAATTAGAACAAATTTTTGGGATGTTGTTTAAAATGTTGATCAAGTAATGTTAGTTTTTTTTAGAAATTTTTGACTGAAATTATATAATTATACACGATAAATGCAGCTTTTTATCTAGGCCAAGTCTTTGTACAAATGAAAAATAATGTGTATAACAATAGTTTTGAAATTAGGTATAACTATTTTGAACAGTTAATGAAAAAATGTTGTAAATATAAATTTTATGTTCCTTTTACTTTAAATCAAAAGTATTATGTCTTTTTTTATGTTTGTGTCTTGTACGATGTAAATAATATTTTATTTAATTGTGTAGAATTATGCTAAGATAGTGATTACCTAAGTAATCAAGTAGACACTTTCATTGTACATTAAAGAGAGAAGATAATTATTTCATGCAAAACGATGAAATAATGGCGATAATGAATTAATGTATAGACAAAATTATTTTTAATGAAAATATATACATACAATAAAAAAGATGAAATCTGATGAAAAATTCTATTTCTCAATAAGATGAATCTAAAACTTGTAATATTGCTAGTTGTGCATTTGAATTATCAATTCTAATCGGTTGAAACAATTTGATAACTTCCAAATGATATGATATGAACTTGCAAAAAAGTGTTCTTTTTATTTCACTGTTGAAGCATAAAGGTAATTCTGAAACAAATATTTATAATAAACGCCCTCGTGAGTTTTTCATCGACACGATCGTCTAATCCGACTAACGACTTACTTTCGAGGAATCACAGTCTTCGTATTTGCCCAAGAAGCACCGAGGATTTTTAAATTTTATCAACTTAACGCACTCGATTCGTGAATTGGTAATATTGGCATGCGCACCGCGAGCAAGTCATCACTTTGATTCGTGGTAAATAAAGCGCGGGTTGGTTATCCTGCTCTGGCTTTTGCACACAAGTCGCATTCGGCAAACGCAGAGTTCGGGCTTCGCAGACCGCACAACAGGCACATCACATTCTTTGCACAAAAAAGTGTGCGATAACATTAAGTTACCCTCCTATTCGGAATTTTTCCAGTTTAATTCGAAATTACTCTTAAAATGTCGGCTCAAGTGGATTGGGGAAAATTAGCCCTCGAGCAGGCTGATAAGGTAAGCTACTTTGCTTGGAATTTTAGCGAATCCGTCATAACCTCCCTCACAACAATCATTGACTACTTTGATTCAATTGTTAAGAAGAACCGTTGTTTTTTTATCGTGCATTCGAGTGCACTCGATGTTAATATTTCGTAAGCTCATGCTAAAGTTATGCCATTTGGAAAACTAAAAAAATATGATAAGGAATTTGATACTGAAATAATTAGGCTATTGCTCTGATGTTAAAATGAACATTATTTTTGATCAGAAAAATTTCATTATCAAAAGGCTTCGATTCGATATTTTTATGAATAATTCAAATCTAGTCCAATTATATTCTATGTCAATATTCAGTTATGCTACATATTTTGGTTAATAATTACTAGTAGCATTAATTTTGAAAAAAAATCTTATTATTGATGATGTGTCAAGTACTTAGAACTAAAATTATTTTTATTGAAAAATTTGAACTTCATATATTAATATATTCACTTTTTGCTGATATCTAAAAATTTTACATAAAAATAAATCCAAAAAATCAGAATTCATAAAAACAATTCTTATTAAAGGGAAATAAAAACTATACAGCAAGCTTTTAGTGGTATGTTTTCTTTGCTGTGTCAAACTATAGAAATTTACTTCAATTTAAAAATTATTTCTTGAAATAAGTTGGAGGCTTTAATTATAATGGTCAATTTACAGGTGGGAACCATGGGAATATCGGATAAAGTACCTCTTCCTACTGACTCAGAAGATGATTCAAAAGATGAAATCCCTGTTGCTGAAAAATCCTTGTTGCAGAAAATTATCAGAAAGGGACTTGTTGAAACAACAAAACCCTTAGATATTCAAAGAAAAAATCCCAACTCGCCGTTGTACAGTGTAAAAACTTTTGAAGCTTTGCATTTGTAAGAGATTCTATTTTTAACTGTATTATTAATGTCAAGCATCAATACAAATAAATGTACATCATGAAATGTATGTTACAGAAAACCGGAGCTATTAAAAGGTGTGTATGATATGGGATTCAATACACCATCAAAGATCCAAGAAACCGCATTACCTACCTTATTGGCTGATCCGTAAGTTTCTACATTTATGTCTGTACGTACAATTTAAGTTCATCATTTTAAATGAATAAAATTCTTTTTGCAGACCACAAAATATGATTGCCCAATCTCAATCTGGTACTGGAAAAACAGCAGCATTTGTCTTGGCCATGTTAAGTCGTGTAGATGTGACAAAAAATTATCCACAAGTACTTTGCCTATCTCCAACATATGAACTTGCTATTCAAACAGGAGAAGTAGCTGCTAAAATGTCAAAACACTGCCCGGAAATAAAAATTAAATATGCTGTGAGAGGAGAAGATTGTTAGTATCATTTTTTGATATTTTTAAAAGGATCTTGACAATTAATGTAATGATGAACAAATTTTCAGTGCAAAGGGGAACAAAATTATCTGATCACATAATCATTGGAACCCCAGGAAAAGTTTTAGATTGGGCTATTAAATTTAAATTTTTTGACCTTAAAAAAATATCTGTTTTTGTACTTGATGAAGCAGATGTTATGATTGCCACACAAGGGCATCAGGATCAATGTATCAGAATTCATAAGTAAGTTTGAAAACTTTTGATAAAACTTCTATGTCTAAAACATGACATTTTTGTGTAGATTGCTCCCTCAAAATTGCCAAATGATGTTCTTCTCTGCAACTTATGAAACAGAAGTTATGGAATTTGCTGAAATCATTGTTAGCAATCCTATTATTATAAAACTGCTGAAAGAAGAAGAAAGCTTAGATAATATTAAACAATACTATGTTAAATGTAAAGATGGAGATATTGATGATAAATATCAAGCCATAACAAATATTTATGGCGTTATTACCATTGGTCAAGCTATTATCTTTTGTCATGTGAGTTTCGGAAAAATGTCGCATTTATTTATAAGTATTATTCAATTTAAAATGATGAATAATTTTTCAATACTTTATTACAGACTCGAAAAACTGCAAATTGGCTTGCAAATAAAATGCAAAAAGATGGACACACTGTAGCAATATTGTCCGGTGATCTTACTGTCAATGACCGAATAGTTGTTCTTGATCGATTTAGAGAAGGGCTTGAAAAAGTATTAATTACTACCAATGTATTAGCTAGAGGTAGGATACTGAAAAGTTCATTTTTTCGACAACTTTTTTGAATTTCGAATGCATTTAAATAACTAAAAAATTGCTGTTTCTAGGAATTGACGTAGAACAAGTAACAATTGTAGTTAATTTTGATTTACCCATGGATCAGAATCGTAAAGCCGACTGCGAAACATACCTGCATCGAATCGGTAGAACTGGCCGATTCGGTAAATCTGGAATAGCAATTAATTTGATCGACTCACCGCATTCAATGCAACTGTGTCGAGAAATCGAGCGGCATTTCAAGAAGAAGATTCACTTCTTGAATACCGAAGATCCCGATGAGATTGAAAAAATCGGTGCTTAAGCTCCTTTTGTTGATATAAGCACGTACAGAAGTTATTACTTACTCAAGTATAAGATAAATTTAAGCATTATTGTATAGAATATGATAAAATTCTAAAAGTGACGAACAGATGACTAAAATATAACTTTTCCATAAAAACAAATTAATCGCTGGCTAATTTTTTCCAGTATCCCAACTAGCGCTTCTCATTCGGGCATCGTGACTCGCTGCACGTCGCTCAAGCATTCCCATAAGTCAACCCAAGATAATCTCTGACAGATTACAAGTAAACTCGAAGTGAAAATTGTGTCGTTGAAGAATTTTCATAGATACGCTTCTAAACATGTGTCTAGAATTTGTATTAGACTCTCGTTACACGTTATATGTACATAGAATCGTGTCTCAGCTGCGAAGCCCCCACCCACGAGTATGCGCGCGCTGCAGACGACGACGACGACGACGACGACATATATCTGCTCAGCTTACATAGGCACACACAGTCGGGAATTGGTTTTTGCTTTCTGCTTCGGGCATATAGACGACGGGCCGTAGGCAAGCTGCGTGTTATTCGATGCGTGTGAACCTCAGTCTGAGGCCGAGTGTCGGGCGGTGCTGAACAACACACTGACAACAACGTGCTTAGCGGGCGCGCACATATACACACGAGCAAACATACATCGCTTGTATTGGAGCGCGAGTGAGTGCGAGTGTGTATATATAATTTTATTTATTTTCTACGAGGAAGATCGCCGTCACCGCCGCTGTCGAGTGTCCGGGTGACAAGAGGCACACCGACTTCCAGCAGTGCGACGACGCACGGTAAATAAGAATCGCGCATGAAATGTGAGTAAACGCAAAGATATATTAATCGTGTGTGAGATTCGGACGTACAGAGGGACGATGGCAATTGCGAGTTTTGCAAGTTTCGCAAAGTGTCAGCGTCGTTATAGCGCAAAATATTTAAAGAGTGCGTGTTTGACATTGGGAGCGCTCGGTGAATGACGCCCCGCTGCTCTACTCTACTACTACCTCTAGTCTGCCGCCGCCGCCGCTGCTGCTGCTGCAGTGCGATTATTCTGTCTCTCTTGCAGCTGCACTCGGCCGCTACCTGATGTATTACCTAAAGATCTGCAAGCGCTCCTATCTTGTGCTCGTTCGTTCTTTAGCCGTGTGTATACCTGTACGATGGGCTATATCGATTGCTTTTCTGCACGACCGTCCGTCGACCTTTTTTTCTCGTTCTCGCTCTAGCTCTAGTTCTGTCTCTCGGCCTGTCTCTCTCTTTCTATTGCTCTGAGCGTGTATCTGTGCGTATGAGTGTGCTCCACTATCTGACTTCGAGAGTTGTGTATCTAACATAGACCTAATCTGCTGTATATAGCCCTGCGACGAAGATGGCTTGATTCTTTTTTGAGAATCATTGCTCCGCTCGCATGCCAAAAGCTCTATCTTTCTCTCTCTCTTTCTCTCCCGCGATTTTGAAACATTGTGCTATCCCCAACACCAATACAAGCGTAACTCCGAATCTGTATGCGTGACTGTAAGTGTGCATAGGTGTGTTGCGTAGCAAATAGTACAGCTTGCAATCGTTGCAAGCGCTTCTCTCTCATATGTCTCTGCAGGTGTATTGTTGTCAAGTCGTTGTATGTGTGTGTGTGCGCGCGCGCGCTTACCGCGTCGTGTTGTATACTGCTCCTGCTCTCTCAACTAGCTCGCGTTTATTAATAGACTATCAACGACGGAGCGATGCGAAGAACCGAGTCTATCGTAATGAGTCTATTGTAGAAAAAATTTTCTACGCGTAAATACCTGCCGGAGCTGTGTAACGCGCGGGCGTTCGACGCGAGTGGGTCAAAAAGAGAGAGCGAGAGAGCTTTCAAGCTCGCTGCCCCCAGCTATGTCAGTTTGTTACCAGATATGATGTCAACCAACTCGCGCGCGATCCGTTCGCCCGACGAGCTTTTTACATAACCTACCGCACGCCAAGTGCAGCTTTTTCAAGCTTGCGCGCGACGCTCCGCGAGCTACATACCTATACCTCGAATGTAACAATCGAGAACCATTCACGCGACTGCAGCTGCTCTACATGTACCTAGACACGTTGAAACTGTACATACGAGTGTGTGTGTGTGTACGTATGCAGAGGATGCGAGCTTGTACAGACGAGGGGGTAATTCGATTCTCTCTCTTTCGAGCGTGCTAAATATGCTTTGATGTCTTCAGCTTGGCGCTCGAAAAAAGTAGAGCTTTGACCTCTTGACTTTGGCGTCGTGTGCTCGGGCTACGCTGGACATTATACCTATACATAGTCTCTTCTTTGCTATATACAGCTCGAAATCAGCCGGGCCGATCCTTTCAAAGTATACATAATAATATGCGGCGTACGCGCGAGCGTGCCAGGAACGCGATAACGAACTCTCTGCGTGCATACGTTTTTCTTTCATAATTATGCAAAGTAATGCAACTGTTGAAGCGAGTGTCGTATATATTGTACACGAAGAATATGAAAGAGCGACTCTTGTACACTAAAAATAATACACGCGCTCGCACGTGGAATCTCGAGCGAGAAAGAGAAATCATGCGACGAGCACGTGCTAAAATTTCTCCTATTTCACGGCTGCGGTGGGCTCCGGTTTCGAGCACGACTCGGATGGATTTTTTTCTTCTTCCCTTGCGCGGCGCGAGTTTGCATACGTAATCGGGTGAAAGAGAAGAAAAAACAGATTTGTCGCTTATAGTCTATATACGCTCGATCGTCTGATCGCGATAACGGTTCGTCGTCGTCGTTCGTTCGGCATCATAGTCACATCACACGTTCGTACACATAATCGCTCGTAAGTATATCGATCACGCGGTCGACCCGCGAGCTATATTACGCACATTGTACACACAACTCGCTCTACTGTATGTCGTCGTCGGTCATCGTCGTTCGGGAAAAAACCGGTTCAATTTTTTGAAATTTCGTCACTAGAAAAAAAACGCCGACGAGGGAAAAAATTTTAGCGTTCGCGATAATTTCTCCCGGACACGTGCTTCAGATGGACGGAAATACACCATATGCGTATGTGGTGCATTATTTCAAAAGCATGATATGACATGTCTTGTTATCGTAGCTATTGGAAAACTTTAAAAGAATAAAAACTAAGAAGGTAGAACCTTCCATTTTACAGAATACTACCTTCCGCAAGTATAAAATTTCCATAAATTACGATCACATTGATTTGCCAGCAGGATAAACATGCAATATGTATTTAGATGGTCCGGAAAAATTAAACTCAAAATAGAAGAAAGTAAGTTTTTTGATTTTTTCAATATTGTCCATTTTACGCACTCGAAATATCACACTTTTGAAATAATGCATCATATAATCACTCGACAATATATGAATGGAAATAAAAAAAAATTCACGCACGAAATCACGCGAGTGTAGTTTTACGTCGAGTTGACAGTACGGTCTTTTGTGCGGCCCACGTGCTTCGCCGCTACCACTCCGAATGCGCAATCTTAAACGTCACGTTCCATCGACAGCTCGCGTGTCGGCAAAATTACGTCCGAGCGAATCACACGAATAAAAAAAAAAAAAAAAACTTGGAAGAAAAAAGTCATCGCTCCGCGTAAACGAGAGTGTAACATTGTGCAAATGATGCTGTAGATCGCGATCTGCCTGACATAAGAGCGCGTGAGCATGCGTACCTCTGTCGGCATGTGCTTTGTGGAGGAGAGATACCGCGAGATGCACATGCGCGCCGAACGTGCGACGATAGCGGCGACGAGCATATAAGAGACGTGATTAGTCTGTGCAAAGAACTCGTACACATTATATAGGTGTACGTTTTTTTTCTCTCGATATCAAACGTACACACACGGCAGAAAGGAATAGCAAAGAGGAAGAGAAATAGTGCAAATGAGCGTGGCAATATATAATGTGCATATCTTCTACGACTGTCAAGGTCACGGCTGCACGATTATGTGGTCGGTTGCGCAATAATACGTACACATAAGCAATATACGAACATAGACTAGGATTCACATAGGCGAGCGCGAGAATCATTGACTAAACAAATGATCGCATTACTATACGGCTGTGTACTGCATTATTATTATCGTTGTCGTCGGCACGCAGAATAAGAGTTTAAAATTTTTCGTTTTATCACAAGCCGAGCTAGAGCTCACGCGATCGTGGAACTCGGTCGGCGGCACGTGCCTCGTCACTCTCGCAAACTTTTTTTCTTCTTTTTACGACGATACACACGTATAAGAAAAGCCACACGCGCTCGAGCGCTGCTGCTTATTTTTCCAATTAATTTTCGCTGATAGCGACATTAAAAATTTCGGTAGACAGAAGCTTGTATATGCATTACGCTGTACAAACGTAGTACGCGTAATTGACTACTAAAAAAGGTTCGCGCACGCGCGAATTTCGTGATTTCCCGCCTCGCTGTGTTGCACCTACGCGGAAGAAAAAGCTCAGTAAACGGTACGAAAACGTTAGCTACAACAACAAAATTCGTTTTTTTTTTCCAAAATATTTTAGTTACAACAACTATTTTCCTTGTTGCTACGACAAAATAGACTTTTGTTGTCCTAACCGAGAAAATAGTTGTCGTAACTAAAAAATTTCGGTTGTGGTAACAAAAACGAATTCTATATTTGCAATTTATCGCATTGAGTTCCCGCTATCTACTGCACAAGTATACCCCAGTTTCCAACGCCAGTATAGCAGTGTAACGTTTACTTGCTCTCCTGTACTCCATGCTATAGCTGCTCGCTGTCTGCTCGCTTGCAGTGTTCGTAGTGCTCGTGAATTTGAGAATCAAGTCGGTTTTTATGTGTTGTTTGTACTTGTGTGCGTCTAGCATCCGTAGAGTGACTGTGAGATGCTAATGTTCGTGTGTGTTTGGGTATAATTGTGCAGTAAATAGTGGGAACTCAATATGATAGGTGCAATGACAGAATTCGTTTTTATTACCACTACCGAAATTTTTTAGACAACTATTTTCTCGATTAGGACGGTCGGTAGCAACAAGAAAAATAGTTGTCGTAACTGAAATATTTTGGCAGTGGTAACAAAAACGAATTTTGTTGTTATAACTACCTTTTTCGGACCTTTTACTGAGCTTTTTTTCCGTGTAGGTACAACATAGCGAGGCGGGAAATCACGAGATTCGCGCGTGAGCGAACTTTTTTTAGCAGTCAATTACGTCAAGTGCACGTACTATGTATTTCTATCTATGTAGTGCATACTTCAAATGCAAAAGATTCCACCGGGAGTACCTGAGGCCGTGACTACATTTTCACCGGCTATTCTCGATACAATGTTAAATAATTTTTTTAGGTAGATGATTTTTTGTAAACATGGTTCTATCATGCTATTTAGAAAATGAATAAAATCGAAAGTATTGACCTACATGTACAACTGGTGTACTTACTTGAAAAGAAATGAACAGGAATATACCTGTCACTTGCAATGCGGCATCAAATTTTTACGGAATTTTTTCGTCAATATTACCAGCGCTGGAATTATTTCAGTGCTTAGCATTTAAAAATCAGTTGTTCGACTGGAATAATCCCAGCACTTTGCATGGAAATATTGCCTTTCAAATAGCGACGGACATGCTCTTGTACATTTCTCTCCGACTAGTCAATACTATCTTTGTTGATAGAATAAATATTTTCAAATAGTATTTTTTTTATTTTCTTTATTATCGCCGTATTTAGTACGGCTGTGACAGCACGAGATGAATGACGCGGCTAGAAATTTCTTATCGCATCTGCTCTATTATATATACTGTAGTCACCACAGGTGGCATTTTACGTTGCCACACGCGAGATGAACCCGACGAGTAAGTTACATGAAGTTTCCATCGACGTGCTTCTCTCGTCGCGGCGCTTATCAATTGCTCGAGTCTGCTGCTTCAATAAACGCGCGGAAACTATTAAATCGAAAGTGTGCTTCGGTAAAGAATTCGCTCGAGGTTGGGCTAATATAATTTCGATTCTAAGCCGTGTACCCATTTTTTTCTTTTAATTTGCAACCGAGGTAAACTCGTTTGAAAATGAAGAGTCTCATCAAATAATGTAAATCGCGTACTACTTGTGAATATAAAAATTATTGAAATGACAGCGCAAGGCTGTTAAATTCCCCTGTCAGGAGATCTAATGACAAATAGTTAATTCGATTCAATGATAAAGTTGGAAATATGTCGTATTTCCTGGTTTCGGAGTAAAAAGAGAATAGCTTGCTCGATTTTGACGAATTGCCTAGCGCATTGATTAATCATTAAAGAGTCTAAGACGCACAATTTTCCAAAGTCATATGGGGTATGAGCAATGCTATACAATACCTTGACGAAGAAAATTAACAGTCCGGAAAAGAAAAGTAACTTACCGGAACTTGAAGATGAATTATTGAAGTGGTTGCGGAGACCATGCATAAAGTCATGAAAACGCGCATCCGACTAATCAGAAAGTCTCGCGCGCTCGCACGTTTAGCACCGATATTACGTAAGGCCACGTGCTCGGCTATATATATACGTATAGTCTCATAGTCTCATTATATATATAGACGCTTTGCCAAGGTGACGTTTAATTTGAGCATGTTATACCCCTCTCTCGGCGTGTAACGATACACGAGTCGTACTGTACGTCGCTCTTTACACTACATTATTCACACCTCCTCGGACTGACCTATTATTTGCATATACATATTTTCTCATTATGATATATATTATTATGAATCGAACTGGCGACAAATTTGCGGTATGCATGGGTAATAAGAATACTTTTGAACGAGTGAGAAGCATATAAAAAAATTATTCGAAGCGAGCTATGCGCAGTGCAAACAGTGCCAAAGGACAGCCAGATTTATCTGGTTACAATGCCCTAGGTTATAAGTCAACATAAGAAGCTTTATAAATTAGAAAAAGTAATAGTGCACGATCGAACGAGATAGAAGAAATTTTATTGATGTAATACGGCATTATTATTTTTTTTTTTTTATTCACTCGCTCGATGTGCATCGTTAATTCTATTGAAATCACTCATTGTTCTCTTGATCCTCGTCATATTCGTGATAATTCGCTTCGTGAGCACGTATTACCTTTATTATGCTATCTAAAATTGCTTCCTAAAGCTTTATCACTCGCTAAAAGCATAGGTTCAATAAAGATTTTTACATACCGGTCTAGGGCAGTAACATTTCATTTACTGCTCTTGAATTATTGACGCGACTACCACAAACACGATGCGTAAATTAGATTAAATTCGATCGCGACGGCCGAAATTGCCTATATCGTAAAACATTTTTTCATCGGTACGCGATCGTGCCTCGAAAGCTTGCCAAATTATTCGAGTCGCATACAATGTCAAAGTTGTTGCATCGTTGCCACAATAATCTAATATAAATAATTACATATTTTTTCATGCAATCAATTGCGCGGTAAGGCGGTTTTAGTTAACTATCTGCGTGAATAATTCATCGCTCGACCGAGAGTACCGGTGATTCATAGATCTCTTGATAATTTCCTAAGAACTATTATTTTTGTTTTCCAAGTACACTACGTATTTGCAAAGAGAAACTTTAGTTGAAAAATTTAAAATATTTTTTAGTTTAAAAATATTCAGCTTAAATTATGGAAATTAATTTTCATAAGATTTTATATTTTATTTTTAATTTTTAAATAGCTCATCTTATGCGTAATTAGCTGGTGAGACATCGTTAGAATTCCTAATTTTTATGACTCTTCATTTAATTCTTTTAAATTCAGCAGGTTAATTTGACCAAAAAAATATTACAGCAGAACTTGAAAACTTAAAAATTTAAATGAGCAAATTATTGAGGTATCTTCTGACTCTATATAGCACCTACTATTTAGTAGCCTCGTCAAACTATCGAAGATCTCGTCAACCTCTTTCTTTCTCTCTTTCTTTTTCTAGATACATCTTAATTTTATTCTACTGATGCTTCTAAGCACTTATATTTCAGATAAAAATGTTAAAACTAAATATGTCTATATTATTCTAAATATTATCTGGCGTAATCAATATTTGTTTTAAAATTAAACATGTCGATCTCAATCGAAACTATCGTGTAAAATGTGTAGTGAAAGCAAACTTTATCTCATACAACAAAATCAATATCTGAGACACTAATAAAATTGTTTTTTTTTTATGATTTCAGAAATACAGCTAAGCTTTAATTAAGTAGAAAACGACGATGGCTGCTCGAAAAATATTTACGGCAGGCGCCAGCGCCATTGCCACCGGAGCCCTAACGTCCTACTATTTACTCTCGCCCGAACAGCCTGTAAGTGATTTTATAAAATTTTTATTATTATTTCATGTCATTGAATGTAAAACAAGGGAAAAGTAAAACAAGGGAAAATGTTTTTATGCAGGTGATGGCTGAAAAAGAACGACCCGCGAAAAGACCCCTACCCAGCCGAGAGGAACAAGTTAAAACTCTGAAGAAACCCGAAACCTACGACGTCCTGATTATCGGAGGTGGTGCCACCGGCGCCGGATGTGCACTCGACGCCTGCACACGTGGTATGTGACAATGTTAATTGAATCAGTAATAATTTTAAATGATCGACAACTCACATCTAATCGGACTCTGAAAATTTTGACAGGTCTGAAGACGGCCCTGATCGAGGGCGACGACTTTGCGTCCGGCACGTCGTCGAGAAGTACGAAGCTCATCCACGGCGGTGTGCGCTACCTCCAGAAGGCGATAATGCAGCTCGACATCGAGCAGTACAGAATGGTCAAAGAGGCCCTGCACGAGCGCGCCTCGATGATTCACAACGCGCCCCATCTGGCGCATCCCCTACCCATTATGCTTCCCGTTTACACGTGCGTTCCGACACCTTTATTCGACTGTTTACTTTTTCTAAGGTCCAAAAAAAATCAATATTTTTTTTCTCTATGACTTTGAATGCAGATGGTGGCAGATTCCCTACTACTGGGTCGGTATCAAGGCCTACGATATCGTCGCCGGCAGCAAGACGGTCAAATCATCCTACTACCTGAGCAAACAAAACGCCCTTGAGCTCTTCCCCATGTTGAAAGGCGACAAATTGACCGGAGCCATTGTTTACTACGATGGTCAGTTATGCTGAAGAATATAATTTTTCACTCCCTTCTCAAATCGAGAGTAAAATGATGAATAAATGAAATGTTTTATTATTTCAATACAGGACAACAAGACGACGCTCGAATGAATCTGGCCGTCGCACTGACAGCATCGAGGCACGGCGCGACCGTCGTCAATCACGTGAGCGTCGTGAATCTGCTCAAGGGCCTCGACAGGGACGGCAAGCGCGTCCTCACCGGAGCCCGCGTACGCGACGAGCTCACCGGCGAGGAGTGGGACGTCAAGGCCAGAGCCATCATCAACGCCACCGGGCCCTTCACCGACAGCATCCGCAAGATGGACGACCAGGACGTGCCCGAGATCTGCTGCCCGTCCTCGGGCGTGCACATCGTCCTGCCGGGTTACTATAGTCCCGACCAGATGGGCCTGCTCGATCCGGCCACCAGCGACGGCCGCGTCATCTTCTTCCTGCCCTGGCAGAAGCACACGATCGCCGGCACCACCGATCTGCCCTGCAACATCACGCACAATCCCAAGCCCACCGAGGACGAGATCATGTTCATCCTGCAGGAGGTGAAGAACTACCTGAATCCGGACGTGGAGGTGCGCCGCGGTGACGTCCTGTCGGCCTGGAGCGGCATCCGGCCGCTCGTGTCCGACCCCAACAAGCCCAACACGCAGTCCCTGGCGCGTAACCACATCGTCCACGTGAGCCCGTCGAAGCTCATCACGATCGCCGGCGGCAAGTGGACCACCTACAGATCCATGGCCGAGGAGACGATCGACGCCGCCATCAAGGCCTGCGACCTGCAGCCCGAGCGGGGCTGCCAGACCGACGGCCTGCTGCTCGAGGGCGCCCACGGCTTCGGCCCGACCATGTACATCAGGCTCGTGCAGGACTTTGGCCTCGAGTGCGAGGTCGCCCAGCATCTGGCCAACAGCTACGGCGATCGCGCCTTCGCCGTCGCCAAGATGGCCGCCCTCACCGGCAAGAGATGGCCCATCATCGGCAAAAAATTGCACGCCGAGTTCCCCTACATCGATGCCGAGGTCGGACATTGACGCATATTTTTTTTTACCGATTCTCTCGCTCGATCGTTTGCTCATCGTTGCTAACGACAATCTTTGTTCGCTCGCAGGTTCGCTACGGTGTTCGCGAGTACGCTAGAACCGCCGTGGACATGATCGCCCGCAGATTGCGCTTGTCCTTCCTGAACGCGCAGGCCGCACAGGAGGCCCTGCCCATGATCGTCGACATCATGGCCGAGGAGCTCAAGTGGAGCGACGCCGAGAAGAAGAAGCAGCTCAAGGAGGCCATGGACTTCATCAGCAACGAGATGGGCATGATGGTCAACAGGACGTCGCGCGACAAGATCCCGATCAATCTCACCAAAGACGAGATTCAGCTGTACATCAAGCGTTTCCAGATCATCGACAAGGACCGCAAGGGTTACGTCTCGATCAACGACATCAGACGCGGTCTCAAGGTACTGCGCCCATTCGCGTCGCCGATATGATTTATTTTGAGCAAGTTCGATAAGATTGGACAGAAGTGTAAAAATCGAACCGAATTTTCTTTCATCGAGTTACTTTTAATTTTTGATCGTTTTTTGCGATTCTTATCAGTTTCTTTTCATTACGGAATTTTCATATTATATAAATTCATTGTAGAATATCGTTTGGAATCAATTTTTTTTTTTCTTATAATTATTCACTTTTATTTTAACCTATTTTTTCATAAATCAGGCGCTTAACATACGGTTAAAAGAAGAAGAGATGCATTTGTTGCTCAATGAAATTGATCTCACTTACAACGGACAAATGGAGCTCCAAGATTATCTTCAGGTAAATGAAACTTGACAGAAACTTTAAAGCTTTCTCTTTTTTGCCTTTCGCAGCTGTTCGGTGACAAGGATGTACCCGGTGACGAGCTTCATGAAATTCTTAAAGAAATCGACACTAACATGAACGGTCAAGTCGAACTGGACGAGTACCTTCAGGTCTGTTTATAGTTGACCAAATGTGGAATTTAAAACAAAGTCTCTCCGCAAAAAATAGACTATAAACAACGCTTAACATCAGGAGAGACTGATCATTTTGTACAGTGTTGTGAAATGCGCATTTTCCTGGATATGATGTTTTTACATAGCTTAGCGATTTAATTAACATTCGTCTACATTCATAATTAAAGGGAATTCGAATCATAAGCATTTTTTAAATTCACGATGAGATTTCTGTAATTTTTTCTAACTATTATTCTTATGTTTATAATCAATTACAGAAAGTGCATTAATTAATTATATACCTTTGCTATGGCCTCGGATTCTCCTAAAATTATATTGTCAATGTTTTTTGTTTTAACGTCTGCTATGAGTTTGGCTCGTCAATTCTCATCATTACTGTTCAATAATTTCTCATCATACAATTTGTACAAAGAGACTATTTGTCAAAAGTTGTTTGCGACATTTTTATACGTCAATTTTGGGAAAAATAATCGAGACAAAACTTAATTTAAAAAAAAATCCAGGAAGAAAATGCTTTTACAGATAGACACTGTGCTTTTTAATTTTCCACTAGACATTGAATCCTGGCTCTGTGCACTAATCCTTGTTTGCGAAGTTTTCTTATTTTCTCTTGTAATCTTTTTAATAACTAAGCTTAAGAAAGTTATGATTGTTTTTGCAAATAATTACATAGTTACGATTATCGGTGAAGTAATGTCGCTTTGAAGATTGATTGAACATTTTTTTCAAAAATAATTACTTTTCTAACTGTGCTTCGAAACTTTGCAATTATGTCTTCACGCTGAGAATTAGTAGTTTTTGATTTCAATGATAGCTTTTTATTTTTTCTACACATTTGAAAACGGTTTTAGGGTGGCAGTGTTCTTTATGATTATTTTACTGTATAAACTCATTTGATAGATTTGTTTTAGATCTTTACTTCGCACAATGAATTCGGCCTTTTTATCCAAATATGTATCAATAGACCCAGTATAGATTTCCTCTATTTTTTTAAGATGCGTAAATCTTTGCGAACATAGAATCTTACATGATTCGATGTTTGAAAACTAAATTTAGCTAATATACATGGATTAAACGCGTTCTACTTATAAAACCTTAGACACAAGTTTTGTTATTGCGCATGAATATTTCAATCGAATATTATGATCGAATTGAAGCGTTTGAGCATGATGCTGATTATTAAAAATAACAAATCTATAATCTTCTCAAAGAATTTACTTTTAAAAAAAACATTTTGCATAAAGTTGAAATAGTTTTTATTAGAAAATTAACTCATAGTATCTTTTGAAACAGCATGTTTTATTTTTGTCTTTCGATGTATCAATCGCTAAAATTTGAATTAATTGATTTACAGATGATGTCCGCAATTAAATCCGGCCACGTGGCATACTCGAGATTCGCCAGGATGGCTGAGATGGAGGAGGCCAAGGCAGAAAAGGATGCATTGCAGAAGAAGATCAGCGTCGAGCGATCGGGTGGTGGTCTCTAAACGATTCGCCTCCTTGATCATAATCTACATATAATGTTTAGTGCAATTCATCCCCTTTCTATTCTCTTCGATCATTGTCGTTATATTATAAACCTCATCGACGCGACGCGTGAACATATCTGTCACGTTGCCGTCGCGAAAAATCTGTAACATATTATTACTTTTTTTGCATATTAGCGAATTAGAGGATTTTGCAAGAGAAAGGAAAAATCTGTTCGATAGCGCGCTCGCGGTAAAAGCCCGAAGAAAAAAAGGGAGTCTTACTTAGCCTTAATTGTTGAAGATTAAATGTAATTGACTGCAGGGCCTTAAAGTCCCCGTGACAACAGCTCACAGCTTTTTGTCAATTAATACATTTATTCATCTTTGTTTTGAGCAAGTTCAAAGATAAAATTCATATAGATACATGTGTACTTACATCTTATATCATGTACACGTGCATGATGAAAAATTACAGATGGAATAATGAAAAGAGATTGTAACGATAGGCAGGTAACTGCAAAGGAAAATATACACGAGAGCCTCGCATCATTTTATGATTGTACTAATCAGCGACGTCGTAACATAACGCGTGCGATCTAACATAAATAACTATGTTGAATGTCAACGAGATTTTAATATCAAAATTCACTCAACTAGCCTTACTGTAGCTCCAATATTGATATACTTTCTAACGGAACGGTAATCATTTAGTCTAATGTGAATTTGAGTCGAAACAGCTTTAGCTATTTTGTAAACAAGAATAACACCATTCAATTGACCACGAATGAAAAAAGCTAGTTTACAAAATGAAAGTAAATCGACGATTAAAACTGAACATGTGCATACGTGGCGTTTCACCGAACAGTCGCCAATTTGCCGATTTTATTGTATATCTTTCGTGTACGACAAAATCGATTGAATTAACGGCTGTAAATTGAATTTGTATACAAAACGAAAACGATAGTCCTACAATGTGTACAACCGATCTTGCGACGAAAAAATTGATTGCGATATACCCGATCGATCGAAAATCGAATCATCGTTCGATAATCCACTTATGATTATATTTTCTTGACAAGTATTACGAACCGTTACGATAAACTGAAACATATACTTCTGTCCTATTATTAGCAAAGTAAAATCATTAAGTGTAAATTATGAAAACTTAGTGCGATTGAAAAAAAAAACGATTAAAAAGTTGTAATTTACTTCGAATACTCATTGTTCATTATAATTCAAGTATTCGGAGTTGTAAAAGTTCTAATTCCATTGTAGAGTTAAAAAGTACCTGAATATAACTTTGATTTCTCTTCCTGCACCTGCGCTTTTGAGTTACACGATTATGTCTTCTCATTGTATAACCCTTTCAACAATTACATTGTATGAATATAAATCTAGAGCAATATTATTTTGTATGTTCAACAAAAATGTTCTTGGTCGAAAGGGATGTACGTCAGACCTTGAAACTTAAAATCTTGTTTATGACTATCTAAGGTGTAGTTTTCTTATGCAAGTCGTCTCTTTCGATATTAAAAGAATAAAAAAAAGGTTAAAAAAACCATTCAACTTGAAGATCAGTGCTTGTCATTTTTAAGATAATATGACAAAAGACTATGATATTGTGTGTGTACATAAAAGATTTCATTGTAACTTGAATACATTTTTTTAAGTTGTTTATTGAAACTCCAGTTACTGTGAGTTTCTAAACATTAGGCAAAATTTGAAAATTTAAGCGAGCAGCAACACAGAGAAAGTTGCTCCATTTATATAATTATAAAAAATGAAATGATAATATAGTTAATTATTATATGCTTTAAAATGCGATAGTTATCTTACGTGGATTTTTGTGAAAAAAGTGCAATATGCAATTATACTTGTTTTAGCAGAATTAAATGTGTTGTATATTGTATTATATATTATATATTAAATTGAGAAAAAAATTTACCAAATTTATAAAAAGTTATTATTGTTTGTAAGTGTTTGTGATCAAAATGATCGTCATTATACATTCGCTGGAACAATTCGGAAAAGCTATCTAACAAATATGAAATATATATCAAAAATTCTACGTAACTTAAGTCTTTTTTATTTCCATACCTTTTATTTATTTCTAAAAATATGACTGTTTTACATGAAATCAATAAATAAGAAACGTTTCAATTTTTTTCTTATTATTTGTTGAAAATTTTGAAATATATACTTGTTTGCCACATATTTTCAGTGACGAACAGTTAAATGTGAAAAATGTGAGAAAAGTCTTTCATCATCAAAGAACTGATGACACAATTAACTCAATGACCTGAGAATCTTTTTCTAGCAACCACAAAGTACAAAACTCAATTACAATTCATTCAAAATACAATGGACGGAATGTTTTAGATATTTCGATTAATATTGATTGACCACACAAAAAATTTACGGAGACTCGAGCGGTAAAGTAAAAAAATTAGCTACAACTTAAATACAAATTTAAACAAAATTTGAAATTTCAATGTTGTAAAGTTTGTCTTAGATCGATAAATTAATTGAAAAAAATTGTTACTTGATCGATAAGCTGGATTAAAAAATTATGTGATCCAGTCTATTTAATTAAGGATTTGAATTTTCATTTGGATAATCAGAAAACATATTTCAATTCTTCGTGCATTATAAATTAGAGTGGCCAGCAAACTTCTATATTCGAGTCAGTACTCGGACGAACGTTAGTCCTGATATCATAGTCAATCCAGCGCGAAGTGAGCCCCCTTCAAAAATATCAGAGAGCCAAGGGTGGCTCAGGCACACACACAAACACAGACACACGTACGCACACCGACGCAAATTCGAACGTGCACACAAAGCAAAAAAGTCGGCGCGACTGAAATTGCCATCTGCTCTGACAAGCCACGTGCGTCTGTTAGGGTGTGTTCAAGTTCGTTCGTCCCCCTTCATATTCTCATCAGCTGCGGCGACCGCGTGATGCTGCGGCAAGGCTGCTACTAGCGCGGTACACGCCAACGGGGCGGGTTTTCCTATGTATATAGCAGAGCTGCAGTCTGTGTATTTCAAAAGCAACCTCGACTCTCGTGCAGTGAAAATTTTGCGCAAGCACAGGCCGACCTGTACTTGCGACTTTTTCAACGATGCGTATAACGAAAAACGGAGAGACGCGAGCTAAATGTAGCCGCGAGTCCTCGGGCTTCCTCGATCGCCAAAGACTGACGGCACGAGCCCATCAGCCAAATGACTCTTATTGATTTTTCTCCGCAGATTATATCGAATACGAAGGGTGCGCGAGTCATCGTAAATCCCGCTGAATTTGTCCTGAGACAGTAAGTATAACGAGTGGTTTTCACGAAAAGTCTATTCAAGCCGTGCGTGGGTGGGTGATCCACAATTGTCAGAAAAAAGTTAATTAATTCAGATGGAAGTTTCAATAAACGCTCATTCGACACGTGGATCAAGATTGTATTCAATTTTTCCCTCGAAACGTCGATTAGCTCCCACAAGCGTCACACTAACAAGCTTTTCGGTAAAAATATGCATCGCATCAAATCTTCAAGTTAAAAAAGAGTTTCATGCGTGACTATTCTGCATTGAAATCACTCTGCGATCGCCACTTACTTGACATTTTTCCTGGGCTTCGATCCCCCTTTCTTTTTTTTTCTTTCGTCAAAAATCCCATTAGCATATGCCATCGCTCGCTTATACTTACATCATTGGTGTGTATGACAAGCTATGAAACGCGGGTGCGACTGGTCCGATCATGCATGCCTCTCTACCGTTGCGGGTCATTTTTTTTTAACACAAAATTCCTAATAAAATATTTATAACTTATTATTTTTCTAAGAGATCATTTTTCTAATATTTTTTTCAAATGTATTATTTCTGATTTTTCAATGCTATTTTTTTCTAGTAAATATCAGTAGCAACATCACTCATGTGAATTTTCAATTAAAATGATTGCTCGATGGTTTGTGTAATTCCGCGGAAAGGGAAATCTCGTGAACGTCTGTTTTGTTGACTGTATGAAATAGGTAGACAGTTTTCGTCGTCACACCGCTCAAAGTAGTCGAATAACGTTTACAGCTGTTATTGAACGAAACGACTACTCGTATATAATTAAAAATAAATTTTCAAATTTGGCAATATAAAAGTGTATAACCATGGTTATACCTATAATATATACAGAATATGAGGAAGCTCAATTATGTATCGATGAAGAAAATGAAGTTTCACTGGGGGGTTCACAAAAAGGATCTGAAGTTCTCCAAAAAGATTCACAAAAAAGATCTGAAGTTCCACAAAAGAGTCCACAAGAAGAAGATGAAACTCCACAAGAAACACATCACGAACGTTCTCCTGATCACAAAAGCACTGATGAAATGATTGAAAAAGTATGTTGGTTTTTATTACTATATGGTTACTTTTTTACGCGAACAAAATGTTTTTAAAAATGTTGTGTAATTTGAAGAGAAAAGCTGCGAAGTCTGATTATAAGATTGTAAAGAAACTAATTGGAAGTCTATTTAGGGTTTTATATTCGTGTAGGTATACGAGTTCTCGACCAGGTGGGACTTTTGTATGTGTATGAATACGCGTGTGTGTGTGTACTTATGAGTAATCCCAAAGATACAGCCTTAGAGTATTACAATGCGATTGAGCAACTCTTTTGATCCAAGTTCATACAATTTTTAATAGTAAATCTAATTTACCTATAGTGGTGATTTGATAAATGTGATTCTTATTTTTCATTTAAATATCACGTGATTTGATGCTTTCATTTACAATACGAATATTCAATCAACGTCCTTAGCTGCACGAAACAAATATATGAAAGTTTATAATTGTACTGAAAATTTACTATATTTATCAAATTTGATGATGGTATGCTCGAAATAAAACAAATTTTTTTTCATTTCGCTTATTTATACCGGTACAGTTTCCAAGTTGTCGAGACGAAAATTACTCGTATGCAAATGTATTCGTGTCTTATAATCATACATTCGTGTTATCTTCAAGTTTTTTATTCACTCCACGAAAGTCACAGAAAAGATCCATCCTGTTACAAATCAATAACTGCTCACAATAACTGAAGCATACTTTTAATCTAAATCTGTTAGACACGGAGTCGTAATTAACTTCGTCAGTGCATGAATCGGCTAAAATCCCATCATTACGACTTTTTATTAAAAGTACCATATGAAATAAATCGATCAAGCTCTAATATCGATATATTGTCTGCCTAATGATTTAAACGAAGCTGAGATCTGCCACACGTCGCTATTTCGCGTGCAGCCTCTGCAGAGTATTATATTGTGCACGCGTATATACATTCGCATCGCATAGCCGGCGCATCGCGAGGGGGATGGTCCGGCCTGTGCCGGTATATATGTATAAAATATCGCGGGGGGCTTGCTGCCTCTTTGCCAATGGCGCGAGGTACCGCCCCAGCTTCGAACTCGCAAAACACCGAGAGAGAGAGCTTTAAAGTCTGGTCCCTCTTTGCGACGAGAGAACGCGATTACAGCATGGAAAGAGATCCCCTGGTCTATTCGGAAATGTCCAGTTTCTATGACGGACGCGCTGCGTTTTTTCGATATCAATCGAATCTATCGACCATCTACTTTTCCCTTGTTACGTTCAAAGCTCGAAGAAACGTGAACTTTCATGAGTCTTGTAACTATCATCGAAATAACCGATCAATTTTACGAGTCTTCTCGGTGCACGATAATGTGCGAGTCGGTGTATTATGAATGGAATTTCTTCCACCTACATTTTTACCTATAACTGAGATTGCGTGTACAATAATTGCGTACATTTAGTCGCTCTGAACGCCCCATAAACGTCGTGATTTAAAGTGATACAATAACAAAGAAGCACTTTATGCTTTATGAATGATAATTGATAAAAGTGAATGACCCAGTGATCACCCAGTCAATTTTCGTAGATTTTGATTTGCTGTAAAAAGTAGATTTAATAGAATTAGATTTCATGTGTAGGAAAATATCGCTAATTAAGATCGAGTGCGTTGTTACATGCCATTGATCGACCGATCGCGACATAGGTAAAAACGATTTATGAGCTGTTAAGAATTTTTTTTCTTGAAACTGTCGTACACCCTTTAACAGATAATCGAGCTAAACTTATCGCCATTTAAACTTATTTTGCTTTATCTCGTCTCACGACATGACATTGAAAGCGACCCGAAAATAGTATTGAACAATATTTATTTTGGTCTGGAACTGTTTAAAGTGCATTTCATACGTCTGCGCTAATGAAGACGCTTACTTTTAAAACGTCGTGTAAACATCGTCAAATGAATGTTTTTTATTGACTTTTTAATTTCTAAACGCTGCTCAGGCTTATTTCCCTCATTCAACATAAATTTAGAATTATAAATAAGATGGTCAAAAATAACATAATGCATGTAGAGTGTGGATTAATTTATCCTTCAATGACAGTATTTAACCTGGATCAGGATTTAATCCTGATTTGAAAAAAATTGTATCTTGTATCGAGGAAGATAAAATTATTAGTTAGGCATTTTTCTTTATATACGAAAGTAAATTTTAAAGTAATTTATATTGAAGCTATAAGCTTTTCAGAGAAGACGTCAAAGATTTTCCGTTCCTTATCTTCTTAAGAAAAAACGCAGAACATGACATTCCAAATTTCTCTTTTTCCAAACAAACGATGTAAAGGTCAAATTTTTTAGAGGAAAAGAAAACAAATGCTAGGTATCCATATTCTTATCTTAAACGACGATTCCTCTGGGAGTCATTAAAAAATTCGTAAGGTGACACGTTCGAATGTACCAGCCCACTTTCTCGGTCCAGCCACGACAAAAGTCAAGCCTCGGCCTATGCTCTTCGCCGATCTATTTCTTTGAATTTTTTTGAATTAAAACGAAGAAGAGGAAGAAGCGATTCACGGAGGTCGCATATAATGCAGGCGTATTTCTCGAGTCACCGTGTAAATCTATCGATTGGACAGTGGGCTGAACGAGGGAGGCGAAACCGGCGGACGCCGTCGAATTCCAACATGTGGCACGTAATACACGCGGGAAACGAAAAAAGGCCTTGCTCGGCTCTCGGGCTGTGTGTCTGCGAGCAGAGAGAGAGAGAGACAGACCCCCCTCGTTCGTTTCTTCCCACTCTTGTGTCTGCGGGGCTTTTGTGCGCTGCTGCCGCCGCCGCCGCGGGTCGTATCTTATTTTTAGAGGAACTCGCGTTGCTCTTTATGAGCAGCAGCACAAAAGTATAGAGAGAGAGAAGGCCGCCTCGTCGAGCCGAGGGACTCGAACATTGAATCGAGTTACCACGCGATGCGTGCCTATGTATTTGTGCGATAGGGTACGGCGGATCGGCAAAACAGTCCGCGAGGGCGTGTACATGACGCGCACTTGTAACCGGGCCGTGCTGACTTGCTCTCATTATGTAGTATATCCATGCCTTGCCGGTGAATACGCACTTATCTTGCGCGTGCAGCGATTTGGTGTATTTCGTGCTTTGTCACGCTTCGAAAGCAGCGGGAAATTCAAGCGTTTGAATTTTAACGTCACACAGTACCAACGATGTAAATATAGGAGCAGTCAAAAAAAATAAAGCGCTCGATTGGATTGAATTTTTAGAAATTCGCGATTAAATATCGTGAGAAAATTCTTCCAAAAAAATAATGATTACGTTTGGTTTTTAAAATATCTTATATTTCAAAAAAGTAACTCGAGCATTCGCTCTGTTCTGTGATCGGGCCGTTTTCGACAATAAAAATATTCTCATTCCAGGAAGTAGCTCTGTTTGGAAGAACAGTAAAAAATAATAGTAAAATACAATCGTAGCCTATAGACCCAATATCTAAATAGTATTTCTATTTCAAATAAATTTTACTGAAAAGCAATGAATAAAAAGATATCCTTTTTTATTTAAATCAAATATTTATTTTTTTTTTACTCAATCGGGGACTGTAAGATTTGTTTTCTTGTTTATTCTTTCCCTATTTAATGAAAGAGTAGAACAATTCTAATTTCCTATACTTATTTGACAATCAGACAGAGAAATTATGCAACGCAAGTTACTTTATTTGATGTGCAAAATTCACACAGCTGCAGGTGGCATATGAGAAATCGCTGCTCTCGATCTCATGCACTAGTTAGATTTTTCGATTGTTCTTTCTTATAGACTCATTGCGTAATCTTATAATTGTTATGCTGCAACTCTGATCTTATCTATACACTCTAGAATTTTGTTTTTAATATTTTTTTCGATTTAACTCAAGAATTTTGTAAAAATTCTTTGATTGGAAAAACAAAAACTTAGGCATCGTGAAAATAGTTCACTCGTTGTTTCAGTATCATCATTTATGCATTTTCATATATTGTTAATTACTCGGTAAAATGGAACAAAGTACTTGCAGCAAATGCATCGGTCTGTATCTCTTTCTAACGTGAAATGTGACAGTCACCCATCGAGTTTGTTCGTCTCGCTGACGTAACGAAGGCAGCACACATTGTACTGCGAGAAGCCACGCAAGCCTCCGCAGTGTAGCTAGCAGCGAAGGGGAAGTGCCCGTGAAAAGCGGGGAAAGGCAGGCGTTGCTGCGCGCGGCATTATTACCACGTATACCGTGGCGGTGGCGGTGGCGGCGGCAACTCCGAGCGGTGAGCGGCGGTGCAGCGGTGGGTTCAGCCTCGCGCGACTCCATTAAATTCTCGCCGCGTCAGTGTACGCTCGTTACTAGTTTGGGCGAGTTTTCGGAGCAGCAGCAGCAGCAGCGGCAGTAGCGTCGAACAGTTGCAGCGTCGCACAGACACGCACACACTCTCACGGAGAGACGGTCAACGCCAGCTATATAGCATTCGTATAGCAGCAGCAGCGGCGGCGGCAACAACCCAAGAAGGCGTCCTCCCAGAAGCGACACACCTATATCATCTTTCTCTCTCGCTCGCCGAGCGCCGACGAGTGAGCGCGTGTGCATGTGTGTGCCATTCAGTGTGTGAGTGCAAATTCTCGTCTGTGTAGGTGAAAACCAGCCACATTAGGTGAGTTTCAGTGTACAGTAATGTGTACATTTATACATACATTATATATGCGCTGTATGTGTGTGAGAGAGTGTGAGTGTGCCAAGTAGTAATGCTTCTAGTAGATCTGGATATTTACCCTGAAACATTTTACACGCGAGAGCAAGACTGTCCTCTGCTACTCTCTTTCTCTATCTTTAGCAATTGCGTAGGTGTGTACACAATACTTCCCAAATCATCCAAGCAAATGCTGTCCATTTACTGCAATACAATATTCTCGCGTTGTAATATCCACGTACACATACACACTCTTACATTTTGTACATTTGCATGTGCAGGTGCGCCGAGAGTTGCAGTTATATTCTATGCCTCTGTGTG